GTTCCCGCGCCTCAAGATTGGCGGCGGCGGCGGCAAGGCTGCCGCCAGCCACAGCCTGGCTGATGTGGAGGCTGCGCTGGTGCAGGCGGTACTGCAGGCCGCCTTCCCGGCAGGTAACCAAGCGCGCGGCAGCGCATGACGGGGCATATGCGCTGCCACCAGCAGCGGCGCCGCGTTCGCCGTGCCGCGCACCGGGCCGCGCCCTCGCCTCGTGCCGCTGCCTGCTCACCGCGCCGCTGCTCCCGCCTGGCCCTGACCCCCACATACCGCTTACCGCCGCCTGCCTGCCTGCCCGCCTGCCCCCACCTCCACCAGCAGGCCCGGTGGATGCACTGCCGGCGGCGCTGGATGTGGCCCGCCTGCTGCGCATGGACACCCAGCGCCTGGCCAGCTTCCTGCGGTCCCGCTTCCTGCGCCAGGCAGCCCCAGCGCCCTACCCCGCCACCCCCGACGCCGCCTTTGACCTGTGGCGGGCGCTCACCGTTTTGCTGGGACTCAACAAGACGCCTCAGCAAGTCTTTGCCGCCGCCGCCCGCGCCATCGCACGCATGCCGCAGGTCCGCGGGGGCGCCTGATGCTACGGTGCCAGCAGCAGCGCCCGGGCAGGGCTGCACCGGCGGCTGTTCTGTCGCGCTGTGTGGGAGGTGGCTGTGTGCTGCAGGCACCGCACCCATGTCTCACCACGGTGCAGGAGCTTGCCATGTCCTGTACATGTGTGTGCTCAGTACTGCCTACCTGGCTGCCACCCACCGCGCCGCAGGACGCACCCGAGCAGCGGCTGATCATCAGGGTGGAGGGGCGGCAAGCGGTGCCGGCCATGCTGCTGGTGGAGGCGGCCGACCGCCTGCAGGCACGTGCCTGCTCCTCTCCCTCCTTTCTTCCTCTCCCTCTCTCTTGTGCTCTTCATTCTTGCCCTCCGTCTCTCGCCCTCCAGTTTCCCCTTCCACCCAGCACCCATTCTGCTTCTGCAATGCCCAGCGCGGCGGCTCAGCATGCGCTGGCTGCTGTCTCTCGTGGCTGCCATGTGAGCGGCACACGTCGCCTCCGTGCTTCCCCCTGCGCTGCAGATAGGGCTGGCGCCGCACGCCGTGGATGCAATGCTGTTCTATCTGGAGCGCTGCTTTGCGGCGGCGGCGGCAGCGGCGCCAGCCGGCGCCGGCCCGGCGCTGCCGCTGGGCGCCGAGCAGACCGCCTGGCTGCTGGAGCTGCTGTGCGGGCTGGCGTGCGTGGCCTGCGTGGGGCGGCGCGGCGGCGGCGCCGCTTTCCTGCCTCGCTCCGCCGCAGACATGCTCACCCAGCTGCCCTTCCTATCGGTGGAACACACGGCAGCAGACCTGCACTTCCACGCCGAGAAGCTGGCAGCGGCAGGGCCCGCCAAGCTGCATGCCATGTGGCGGCGCATGGCCTGCCTGCTGTCGGCGGCGGCCCGCGCGCTGGCTGCGCAGGTGTCGCCGGCGGCTGCCGGGGACGGGGCCGGCGGCGGCGGGCCCTCCGATGCCCCCACCCCCGGCCAAGCAGCAGCGGCAGCGGCGCTGCTGGGGCGGCTGGCCCTGGCGGCAAGCAGCGTGCTGGCCAGCCAGGCCATGGCCGCGCAGCAGGCCGGTGGGGAGGCGCCGCCGCCGGAGGTCCCCGGTGCCTTGTACGCTGCGGTGCAGGCGGCCGACGCGGTGCTGCCCGGCCTGCGGCTGCACCGCGTGCCAGAAGCCAAAACGGTCGGCAGCCTGGCGGCGGCGCTGGAGGGCGTTGCAAACTCTCTCGGCACCGCTGTGATGCAGGTGGGTGGGTAGGGCAGGGCAGGCGGACGGGACAGCACAGACTGGTGGGGTGGGTGGTGCAGAGAGCCGCGGGTCTGTGGCCCATGCAGCGCAGCCAATTGTGTGGCTGTGCGGCTGAGCTCACAGCTCTGGGCCTGCTGGTTCCCTGCCTGCTGCCCTGCCTGCTGCAGCTGTCGCCCCAGGGTCTGCGTGAGTTTGATGGCTTCCCCAGGAAGGGCCCCGGCTCCCAGCTAGCCATCCAGCCCATCCCGTTCCGTGCCAAGGCGCTCAAGGCGCGGGACGGCGGCGCCGGCGGCGCCAGCCGCCTGCCGCCGCTGGCCGCGCTGCGCGAGCACGCGCCCGGCGGCAGCGCCGAGGTGCGTCGGGCCAAGGCCGCGCTGGTCATCGCGCAGTGCTGGCGCGCGCACTGCGAGCGGCGGCGCCGCCGCGGCGCCATGCTGGTGCTCAAAGGCCTCTTCTTCAGGTGGGGGGGCGTGGCAGAAGTTGCGGTTTCCCTCTGGGTTCCTTGGGGGCCCTTGCCGTTAGGAAGCAGCCTGCCACCGGTGCCAAGCACATGCAAGCCTCCACCCAGGCTCCGGCCGGTGCGCTTGGCTCGTCCGATCACAGGCTCTCCTGGCGTGCATGCGTGCCTGCTGCTCCCGCCGCGCGTGCAGGCAGCACCTGCGCGGGTGGCTGGCGGGCGTCAAGGCGCGGCGGGAGCAGGAGGTGCAGGAGCAGGCAGAGCGTGCAGAGCGGGAGCACCTGAGGCAAGCGTGGGGGGGATAGGGGGTGGCTGGGGCTGGCGGGGGTGGCGCCTGGCTTGGTGGGGTGGCCAGCGGGGCAAGCCCCGGGCAACCAGGGTGCCTGTGGCTTGGCAGCCACCTGTGATCTGCCTGCCCGCCTGCCCCACCATACACTCATCCAGCCGCGATGCAGCCTGGCGGCAGCACACAGCATCAAGTGAGCGTGCCTGTCCTGCGCGGTACGACCTTGCAGGGCGGCGGCGCAGTCGGATGCCACCGCCGACGACCGCTACACGTGGCTTGAGCGGGAGCTGCAGGCGGGGCGCATGGTGTCTGCGGCGGAGTGCCCCATCTGCGCGCCCGAGGCGCTGCAGCCAGGTGGGAGGGCATGGTGGCGTGTGGGGAGGCTCTGCGCAGGCAGGCCTCTGCCATCCTTTCTGTTTTCTTTCCAGATCTGCCAACATGAGGGGCAGAAACCCCTCATGGCATCGCTCCCCTCGATCCGAGCCTCTCGGCACGCAGCGGAGCCTGCCGTTGAGCACACGACTGACACGCCCTACTGCTGCTGCCCTGCCCGCCCACCACGCCTGGCCCGCGTGCAGCGCCCGGTGGCGCCGAGCAGCCTGCGGCGGCCGGCGGCGGCGGCGGCGGCGGCGGCCTGAATGTATCGGCGCCGTCCTTCCAGCCTCACCTCTACACGCCCGGCCACGCGGCGCAGCAGGTTGCCTTCCACCAGTTTGTGCAGCTGTTCAGGGAGAGCCTGGCTCCAGAGCTGATGAGGGCCCATGGGCTGAGCGTGCAGCTCGACGGCATCACAGAAGGTGAGCGCGCATCGTGGCCTGCGATTCAGAAACCTGTGTCTCTCGTTATCTTAAAGATCTGCCCTGGGGTGGATCCGGGGCACCTTGCGTCCTCCTCTCCCTCCTGTGTGCGACTGCTCTCCACGCGGGGCTGCATTATGGGTGGGTGGGAGGGGGGGTCAGCAACCCCTTGCGTCCTGATTACTGATGAACCCCCTGCCGCGCCTGGCTGCCATGCCCCGCAGGCGCCGCGCACGTGCACGCCTGCACGCAGCAGGCCGCGCTCGAGCCGCTCGTGCGCAAGGCGCACGCCGTGCTTGGGGCGGTGGAGGCGCGGCGGCGGTGGCAGGATGCAGAGCCGGTGCTGGGTGCCGCCGCCGAGCTGGGCGCCGCCTGCGAGGGCGTGCAGGCGGCGCTGAGTCGGTACGCTGAGGGGGAGGCCGCAGCCGCCGCGGCCGCTTCGGCGGGCGAGGGCGGCCAGGCGGCCTACACCCAGCACGAGCGGCAGGCGGCGGAGCTGCAGGCGGCGCTGGCGGCGGCGGCGGCGGCGCAGCAGGGGCTGGAGGGAGACGACGGGTGGGCCACCGTCAGCCGGGGCGGCGGCAGCCGTTTGGCGGACGAGCAAGAGCCGGAGGATGAGGTAGGCGGGCTGGGCAGGCGGGCAGGCGCCCGGATCTGGGGCGCGTGGCGCTGCGGGGTGCGGCCTGCCCTCAAATGGCTGCGCGGGGCGCTGTGCCTGGTGCCTGCGAGCCAGGCGCCCTCCTAGTGCCTGCTGCTGACGCCCCTTGGCCCCGCTCAAGGCTCCCGCCTCCAACGCTGCCTCCCCCTCCTTGCTGGGCTGCAGTTGGGAGACGGCAATGCCTTTGAGCTTCTGGATGTGGAGGAGGCCTGGGAGGAGGAGGTGGGGGAGAAGAAGAAGAAGAAGAGGACGCAGCGGGGCGGCCAGAAGCGTCGAAACAAGAAGGGCTGAGCGCCAGGGTTCGCCGCCACATGGCCACCCCATGCACTAGATCAGTCCAAATGGATCAACGTCCCTGCAACACCATTCCATGTGCGAGGTGGTTGCCGCCGGCGCTGCGGGAAAGCTGCCGGATGGGTGGCGGCAGCGCACCGCCGAGCAAAATTGTCGTCCCGGCATAGCAGGGAACTCCGCCCAGCCCCCTGAGGAGAGAGGGATCATTTGAGAGCTTTCAATCGATTGCAATCAGGTGGATCGTTGTCTGGTGCCTGGTCGGGTGCTCCTGCACCACATCGCTCAGCGTCGTCGTCGTCAGCATGATGCCGCCGCCATTGCATGCCCGCCGCCGCCGCCAACAGAGGAGGACGGGGCCTGCCGTGCGCCTTCCTTGCACCCGGTTTGTGACGCATTTGGGCACACTGGGGCTGCAGACGAGCCATTGGCGAGCATCGGGCAGCTCCGGCCAGGATGTGGCCCGTCCCGTGGCGGGGGATACCAGTTTTACCGGCGCGACACACCTGTTTACCTTCATTTTTGCAGACGGCAAGCAGGCCACCCGCATCAAGCGAGCAGCGTTCTTGCCGGCGCCCCCCCGCCCCCCCTCTCGGGACCATCCTCCCATCCATAAGTGCCCAACCCCAGCGCTTATTTTGCGCCATCGCTCGCTACTGCACCCGAGATGACACCCCGATCACGCCGTGACGGCGCGGGGGGAGTCCTGTTGCTCCTCCTCCTGGCCGGCCACATGCTGGCCGCCGCCGCCGCCGACAGCGGCGCCGCTCACGCCGGCGGCGACGCCGACGGCGCTGCCCTGGACTCCTCCGAATGGGCCGTGGTGACATTCCCCGACGTCGGCACCAACATCAAAGACCTCCCGGGGGCCGATATCCTGCACCCCAAGAAGCACGTCACCGACATCCGCCTGGCGCTCGCCCCGGCGCTCATCGAGGGACCCACCGGCGGCAACGGCGACCTGCTGCGCTTCTACAACACCCTGTTCCGGGATGACAACACCGGGGACACTTTCCTCTTTGGTGGGTGGGGAGGTGTCATGCAGCTCAATGTGTGTTGCGATGGCCGTTGGGGGGCAAGCGATGAGTGTGGCGTGGCGGCATTCCCCAGCCAGCCTGCCGCTAACCCGCCCCGAGCCTTCCGGTGCGCTGCAGGCCCCACACTCCGCGCCAAGGCCGGCGACCGGCTGACGCTGGGCATCAAGAATGAGATGATCCAGGGGCCCGACAAGCACGCCTCTGGCGGGGGCTTCTACCACCCTATGGACACAAACCTGCACACCCACGGTGGGGACACCGTGCCAGCTGGCTGACGGGCGCAGGAGGACCCAGTTGCCTGCCACAGGCGGCATGCCCCTCAGGCCACCTGCGCCGCTCACCTGGCTGCACCTCACGCCCCCGGCGTTGCCCTCTCCTCCGGCTGGGCATCCCTGCAGGCCTGCACGTCTCACCCGGCACGATGGACCAGGCTGTGCCTGTCAAGTGTGAGGCCCCGCGCAGCTGCACGTGCCTGCACGCTCCAGGGCTGCCGCCAGCTGGACGTGGCGGTTGCCCAGCTGGTGGCTTGCCCTGGCAGTATGCGCTGTTTGCGCCAGCCTGCCAGCCTGCATTCACCCGCCTGGTGTGGCAGCCGCATGCTCAGCCTGCAACCAGCAGGCTCAGGTGCCAGCCTGCCCCAACGCGCCTCTCCTCCCGCTGCCCGCCCGCCTGACTGCCGGTGCATGCAGACACGCAGGGCGACAATGTCTTGATCACAGCGCCCGCCCGCCACAGCGCCGACGAGGAGCCCGCCTCGCTCAAATACACCATAGACATCCCCGAGTACCACCTGCCAGGTCAGCAGCGCCACGTCAGCAGGCGGACCAGGGCCTGCGGTGCTGGGCCGTGCTGTGGTTGCTGATCCGCCTGCGAGGCCCCGCCTGCCGGCTGAGGCGCTGCTCTTGCTGCCATGCACCCCTCCCATGCAGGCCTGCACTGGGTGGGTGAAGCAGCATACCGTGGCTGTCGCCTCGACTGCTACCGGTCACCCGCACCATTCCTCCCCTTCACGTGTGTGTGCTGCCATACCCATGCTGTCTGCGGCCCTGCCCCTCCCGCCCTGCCCCTCCCGCAGAGCCACCCGCACCACCACGGCGGGACCACGCTGCAGACCACCACCGCCTCTTTCTTCATCATCGTGGAGGACGACCCGCGCTGGCTGCCCAGCAGCGGCGGCTGCAAGCCCGTGCGTGAAGCCATCAGGTGCCGTCGGCACTGCGTGCGGCACAGCGCCGGCTGCTGTGCCCGCTGTGGTGCGGGTAGTACTGCTTCCTGTGCCGCCGCCGCACAAGCAGCACCAGCGCCTGCGTGCCCGCTGGCCTGATGAATGCTGCCTGCGACCCCCCTGCTGCCACGTGGCTTGCGCAGTGAGGCGGAGGAGGTGCTGCTGCACCTGGAGGTCATGATCTTTGGGGCACGTGAGTGGGCTGCTGGCTGGGTGGGCTGGCTGACTGGGGTGGCTGGAATGTGGGGGGGTGCCAGCGGGCTGGGGGCGGCTGAAATCTTGAGGGGCTCTGCGGCACCCGCAGCAAACCAACTCAACTCCCGCACGCGCCCACCGTCGCCGCCGCCGCCACCCCAGCGACCCGCGCCGCCTCGGCCCCTCGCACTCCTCACTCGAACCTTTCCACCCTGCCCTCCACCTGCACAGCCCGCCCGCCCTACCCTGGCGCCAACGCCAGGATCACGGACGCCAACATCCAGGTCTACTCGGCCCTGTCCACCCCCACCAACAGGCTGTGCTGCGGCACCGAGGGCGAGCCAGACGCCAACGTGCGCGCCGCCGGCCTGCCCTGGCTGAGCCTGCCTGCCGCCGCCGCCAGCTGCAGCCGCCCCCGGCATCAGGGCGCCCCGTTCCGCCACTGGCCGCAGCACGAGTCATGCTGCCCGCCGGACTTGCAAGCCAGCCGGGCATGGCTGCCAGGCTCCCCGTTGCTTTCCTCTTGCCCACCACACACAGTGCATCACGCTGACCCCGTCCCCTGGCCTCCCCACTGGCCTCCCTCCCCCTCCCTGCCCTCCTGTACACCCTGTGCAGTCCCTCAAGCTGACGGGCAGCATGTCAGGCATGGATTTCGTGCTGGTCAACGGCGGCTGGCAGCCCGTGCTGGACATGACGGCGGGCAAGTGGCAGCGCTGGCGAATGCTGCACTCGGGCATCAAGCGCTTCCTCACGCTCACGGTGGGTGGGTGGCTGGGAGGGCACAGCAGCTGCCCGGGCCGGGCTGGTGTCCGCTGCTGCGGCAGCGGCTGTTCTTGTGTTTGCCTGTCAAGCCGGCGGGGCTCGAGGGGAAATCTCTTGAAGCAGCAGCAGGGCCGCGGCAGCCGAGCGTGGCGGCCCGCCAAGCCCGGGAGCCCGGCGCTACCCCGCTGCTGCTGCCTGCTGCCCTGCCTGCCTCAGGTGGTGGAGGAGGGCACGTTTATCCGGGCCAAAGACTGCGAAGTCATGCTGCTGGCAAAGGATGGTGAGGGGGAGGGGGAGGCATGTGTTTGCTTGCCGTGCGGCTGGCACAGCGTGTCCAGGCACAGCGTGCTGGCCACACTCTGCCAGCGCTGCCCGCCTCTCTGACACCCCACCTTGTCGCACCTGTCTGCCGCACCCTTCACGCAGGCGTGTACCCCATGAAAATCCCTCGCACCGTCGACGAAGTGTTCATCACCTCGGGAGGCCGGTGAGCAGCCGGGAGCGGCATGGCCGCCGGCAGGCTGCAAGCCGCTCAACCGGGCCAGGTGCCTGCTTGGATCACCGGGCAGCCCACACTCCTGCCCACACGCCTGACCGCCTGCCTGCCTGCCTGCCTGCCTCTGCCTGTGCAGCGCCGAGGTGCTGGTGCGGTGCGACCGGCCCGGCACCTACACGCTGACCAGCCACCTGGATGCGCAGTTCCCGCTGGGCAGGAACTTCACCGAATCCAAGTGAGGAGCACACTGCTGCTGTGTGGGTGTGTGCAGGGTGTGGCGTGTGCGTGTGCGTGTGCGTGTGCGTGTGCGTGTGCGTGTGCGTGTGCGTGTGCGTGTGCGTGTGCGTGTGCGTGTGCGTGTGCGTGTGCGTGTGCGTGTGCGTGTGGTGAGTGGTTCGGGGTGGTGCGGTCACGGGCGTGCCATGTCTGCCGTTGCCTCGCCCACCGGATCGCCCCCCGCCACCGACAAACTGCTGCCGCCTGCCACCACGGCCGCCGGCGCTGCCTGCAGCTGGCTGCAGCAGAAC